ACACCGTTATACGTTGTATTGTTTATCCATCTTTCGTATGAATAAATTTATATCCACTTAAAAAGTTATTGCACTTGTTTACATCACACTAATGTTTGTTCTGAATTCTGAAATACACTAGCAGATAATAAAAGTTCCATCGAGAAAAAATTGCCTGGCAAAAGTATAATTTGGCGAATAAAATGTTTACAAATATTCTACTACACTTTGTTAGAGATCTACCACTGTTTTTATTAATAATCTATCACTAATTTGGTTTCTGAAGTGACAACACTGATACTGACTTTGTGCACCAAAAAAAGAGCGTAAATTTGCCTCATATGCACGGTAAGTCATCGTTCGGACTTAACTCCGATGGGAGTAGATTTGTTCAGTTTTGTCGAAATAATTTGAAACCTACTCACCTACTCCTCTACTCCGCTCAACCGAAAATCTGTTTCGTTTTGTTGCATCAACAAATATACTCTTCAACTAGAAAGGAGGTGGGGTTTTTGATAGCAAATTAAAAAATATATTTTATCTTCTTAACGACGCGATTGTTACAGCTACAGCACTTTTGCAAATACACTTGAATTCCGTCCAAAATGTTCGAGGGATCAACCTTCATAAAAAAATACATGTACGCAAGTGTCTGAAAAGTGGAAAATAACATTGTCATCGTGAATAAGCCCTCACAATCGCCCAATTTGAACCCGATCGAAAAAGATTTCTCTGTCTAAATTTTTGTAATTGCGTCGTTGCCCACCGATGTAACAATTGTCCGGGTAAAGAAAGAAAGAAATTACTTTCTATTATTTTAACTAAGACATTTTAACTTTAATGATAACACCGGGCGACAAAAACCAAAAATTTTTAAAACACACGGAAAAGACCATATATTCACAAAACTAGGGGCAAAATATAGTATAACTGCGTTTTTCATTTTTCTCTCTGACGTCAGGATTTTTTTTAAGGATTTTGAAATTTCCAAGATATGATTATTCAATGAAATTATTTACAAGAATTTATTTACAAGATTTGGTGCATTGTAGGGTAACAATATGGGGATAAGTTAAAAGGAAAATTCTGTAGAATTAAAAAAATTTTTTGTTGCACCAGGACGAATAAATGTTGAAAATTTCCTTTTAAAACTTTATCCTTGAATATCCTTGGAAATTTCCAATATTTATTTTTGACATATGTCAAGGACTAATATGCAAACTACTATATCCTCGAATTTCGTCCTCGTTTTAGATGAAAAAATTTTGCACTTCTCTTTATAAGATATTGTTAGTTAAAATATGCACGAATGAAGATTCTAGAATCATTACACTGTACAGTACTACGCTGGGTATTGGGCCAAAACAATTTTTTTTAAGAGATTGAGTCATGAATAAAAAAGTATTTTTTCCGTTTTTCGAAGTTAGCCTCCGAAATCGAGATATGGGCCTTCGAAGCTCGAAATAAAATCTTTGGTAAATTTTTTTTTATTATTATACAACAAAAACAGATTGTTTTATTTCAACCCGGCCTTGAACTCAAAAAAATCATCACAATCTTCAATTAACGGCCAAATACAAATAAACAATGTTTTATTGTTATATGTAAATAAATAAAAAGCTAAATAAATAATATAAAAAAATAGCTAAAATGGTGTCTGGACACACAACACTGCAAGTTGATAAAAGCGTTGTAATAAAATACAGTGGTAGACCGCCTTTTGCTCTTATTAAAATGGTTTATAACTTTTTATTTGCAAACTTATATTACAGGTGCTATAAGGGGGCAAAGGTCGGGTCTTCGAAAAATTAAAAACCTTATATTTCAAACAACTTTGAACTGAATGTAAATGCTGCGGCAAATATTCGCGGAAAGTTGGTGTGGCTAGAGATACTATTCTGTGCGAAGGCAATTTTTTAATTGCATAAGATGTGCGCCGTTCATTCGATTTTCAAAAATGAGGTGTCAAATTAAAGGGCTTGACCTTGGATGTGCAGAAGCGATATATTTTTTTGATAGAGTTGCCACCTGCGTCTAAAATTAAGATATTTACACCCCTCTCCCGATTTTCAAAAATGAGGTGTCAAATGAAAGGGCTTGGCCTCTGGATGTGCAGTAAGGATATATTGTATACTAGTATTGATATACTAGTGCAAAACGGATGCAGAGCGGGACAGTTGAAACTTGCGGTGTAAATGTGAAAATGCTCACTACTCGTAGAATACGAAAGTAGCTCAGCGAGAAGACCTCCGACTCAACCATCGTTAGTCGCGAGTTCAAATCGCAGTCGAGACAGCTGTGAGCTTTCAGATTTAAAGAATTTAAATTGTTGCGTGCAGCTTGCACTAATTTTAATTTTTTTTATAAAATATGTAACAAATATGGAGTCTGTAAAAGAAAAGAAAAAACAAAAAAAAATATTCAAAAATCGAATCTTAAAAACGTTTTCTTATAAAAAAAAAAAACTGTCCAAAACGGAACCGGTCGTGTAAAACTGGACAGTTGAAAGCGTTGCTTGGGTATTGAGCTAGAACTAGTAATGTCGGCAAAAGATCTAGTTCTACGCTAGTTCTGAGCTAGTCAGATATTCTGCAGGGCACTTATATGAACGCTACATATATGAACGCACGCTGTTTGGTCAACCAATACATACGCGTACGAACAACAGCGGAAAGTTTTTCTACCTAAAATTCGCGAACGCGACCTATCTGGATGGGTTTTATGCTTCTCATTCGCGAAGGAGAATCAATACAGAATATTTGATTCGTTCACCTTCGCATATAAAATCATAAATGTATGTTCGCAAACGTTCATATATGAATATTTCTTGTGGTGTGATTGTACCAGCTGCTGGTCCGACTTCAAAAACTATTTGAAAATTTTATAATTGTACCAGCATGCTGGTGTCGTGAGTGGTGAAATTAGCTAATTTTTCAAAGTAAAAAGTATTTTGAAGGAAATTTCTTGCACTATACAAGTCAAAGCCGTGTTTGTGGAAGATTAAGTTCACGATAATGCAGTTGTGAATTAAAAAAAAAACAATGTTTAACAAAGTGGTAGAAGAATTATGAAACTTCATTTAGATTTTTCCTGGACCTCATTGTAAAGAAGTAAATATTGTACCAGCATGCTGGTAAGTTATATGCTTCAAGCCTGATGGTACAATCACTTGATGGAGCGAACAAGCTGATGTCGTATATTTCCCCCTTTATAAAAAAATGTTTTTGGTTGGATAAAATATTTGCTTTTTTTCTAGAGTTCATTGTTTTTCTATACCATTACTTATTGAATATGTTTGCGTGTTTAGCTAACATTTTTAGCCAGAAGGACTATCTTTTAGCTCTTTTTAGCCCTTTTTTTTTAAGGAATTTGACTGCCACTAAAATGATTCGTGGCAACACTGATCCAAATTTGCTCATATACAAGCATGGACAGAGAGTGAGCGCCTGCTTAAAGAGCGTAAGAATTGCGTGCGTATGCATGCGAGAGCGTAACGAAGTGAACGCAAAATGATTCAAACCAGCGTTTACTCCGATCGGAGTAGATTTACTCCGATTTCTTTTTTAAATTTAAAATCTAGTCCCTACTCCGCTTGACCTAAAATATGCTCCGTTTTTTTTTTACTTTTTTCCATTCACATTAAGCATATATTTCAAAATAATATGGTAACTTCTTAAACTTTTGCTCAATAACTTCGGTGGCAACCAGCAAGGTTTTGTATAGCAAGGTGTAACAGAAGTTGTCTATTTTACTCTTTAACATTCCTTGTGTTTATTTCCTAAAGCAGGGACCTGAAACATGTTTTTGAAAAGTGTATGTGTAGCAATTTGGCAGAGTATATGCTGACGTGAGCTATTTTAACGCACAGTAGTGCTGCTGCCGAAAAAAAAGTTTCGGAGATTTCGCTTTTGAAAAGGTAATAATGTCAATTGACTTTATTTCGCAACAGGGTGGGAAATAAAGTCAATTGACCTTATTTCCGTTGATCTTGTTACCTGTCACCTTTCGAAATTTTAAATTTTTAAAACACCAATGATAACCGAAAACAAACAAAACATCAACTTTGTTTCTGATGCGCTGGTTACTCTAGCGATGCGTTTCGATAACTTTTCGGATGCTTTTTGGAAAAGTATACATTGTCAACCAATTGTACATATGCAATGTAATTGACGTTTTGGAAGTCAGCCTCTGTTAATCTATCCAGATAATATCAGAAAGATTAAATTCAATGATACAAAATTGGGAATCCATATTAGTATCGCGGAGATCAGCTATATTTTCAATATGAGAATCATATAAGCTATCAGAACTAGTGGGTGATATATATGAGACACAAATAAATGTAGAGCAAAGGAGCTATAACGCTTACGCATAGCTGATCAATTAAAGAATCATGAAGCAAGTTGGTATGCTGAGGAACGTAAGCGACGTTTTAGCACGATTAAAACACCACCACTTTTGAGATGACCCCACTTCATGAAATCTCTAGCCTTGCGGTTCGTATTAAATATGTAGCTTTGGCTATTCGGATCTGCTTGCCGATTGGCTGTCAGTGGAGATGTTTACCTCCTTTTCGACGTCGCGAAATTGGGGTTTGATGCCAGCTATGCAGTGATCGTTGTTGTCAAAGGTAAAGTCGAAGTCTTCAAAAAACCTAGATTGTCAAAAACCTGAGTCTGTTTTGCTTCCAGTGTCCTTAAGTCTGACCACAGCCCTTGATGCAGCTGGTTCCAAATGTAATCGGGCGCTGTGTTAAGCGGGATGTTAAATACAAGAGTGGGAATGACTCCTATCGCCCTACCAATTCTTGTCTATAGTAGTCTTCTCGAGTCCATTCCACGAGAAACCTACTCCATAAAACATTATGAGCTGAGATATGGTTGCAAACGACCGGGAAAGAACTTAAGTAGAGAGGGCCCATCTCTTACCAATGGCTCGCCTGTAGAAAACGGCCGAAGAATTATATATAAGAATATTTCTTTAAAAGTTGATTTACTACATTTTATTGTTTTTACTTTCAGGAAATACAAACAACTTGGTTTCGTATGCGGAAATCAAACGCGGCGTACATATATTAGGCAACGTCAACATAACTGTTGTTAACGCCAACAGTAGAGTTGTGCCAAATATGCAAAACTTAGATTCCTGCAGTGTCATCGTGTTTCCATCGTTGAATCCAGACCATGAAGAAATCCAGGTGGATGGTGATGAATCACTTTCTTCAACGCTTGATATAAAGACCAACATAAATAAAGATGGCGTGGAAATGATTGGAAATGATGCAATTGTCAATTATTTGGATGTCTTAAAGGCGCTCGTTTACAGCAATAAGAAACCGGCTTACTACCTGAATCGCGTCTTTAAACTTGGCTGTACACAGATGAACTCTGAATTTAAGAGTCAAGAATTTACATTGACGTTGACGGTGTTACATCCAAAACTAGTACCCAAGACCACAATAGCCCCGACGTCGGCAATGGCTGCCGCTGAAAATTCGCCGTATAGCATTAGCGGCGTTAGTGGCGTCGCTTTAGGGCCGACATTGGCAGGTAAGTACTACAAACGAGGGATAAACCGATCTCCTGAACTCAAAAGGCAATCTACTCGCTTTCTTTGCAGATAATAGACTCTTCGCACATGCGATGGTACATTCACACGATGTGCAGGAGCCCAAGATGCATGTGCATTCTATCATTCACAAAGGTAAAACACCATTGGGATATAGTGGTGGCAAACTATCGATGGCACTACCGAAACTAGCGATGGTTTTGGTTCATTTTTCACTATCGATAGATTTTCAAAACTATCGAGTATTTCACTGATGGGCTATCTGTCAATAAAGTTACAACCAACATTAAGTTCCAACTTAATTTTGACGATGAATACGCCCCAATTAGATTTTAATCTTTTTCAAAATAGGCGATTATCAATAGACTATCGATAGTTAAAAAAATATCGCCCACTATCTATAGTCACGACAATCGATAGTTTGCCACCACTACTGAGATATGCGTAATGCGGAGATTTGGAAATGCGCCTAGGAAATAAATTAAAAGTTAAACGACTTTAGCTAATTTTTGGTCAGATTTTGTTGGTCGAATTTATACAAGGTGGTGTTACTAGAATACGCCGCGTTCCTTCTGAATGTCAAAATGCTGTGTTTGTTGTATTTTGGGGTACTTCTTGCCGTCATTGTACGTATAATTTGTTGTTGTGATTTTTGTTTTTGCTGAAACGATACCACCTTGTATAAATTCGCCTTGGGAAAGTGGGTTTTGCGTATAAGTAGAATGAGTGCGAACGCATTGACGACTTCTTTGGGTCAAACAGTATTGTGCTTTTGAACGATCAAAATTTAAAACTTCAATCCTGGAACAACGAAAAATTATTATAGAATAGGTAGAATAAGTAGAAGATCGGAATAGGGAACGACCTTCACCCATCTGTTTAATGGATGAAATCTATTTTGTATGAAATTTTACGTGTTAGGAAATAATTCGCGAGTGGGTTGGCTGAAAAAATCCTGGCCAGGATAATTTTAATTAAATATTCAAAAATTATTGTTTTTTTCTAATTTTGCACTAAAAGCACGCAAAAGTAACAGAAGCAATGTGTAATCAACCAAAGCTGGCAGTATTAGGGGTATGTATGTACATATGTAATATGTATAGAAAACAGATTTCATCCATTAAACAGATTGGTGAAGGTCTTGCCTTATTCGGATCTAAGACTATTAGAAAATCTTGCCACTTTAGTAGGATCGTATCTCCGTTTCCTGTCATAATTTTTCGTATTTTTCCGTACTTTTTAGTATATCTTTATTATTACTAATAATAATAGCATGGCGCTTACGCATATGTTAGTGTTTGGCCGAGCTTCTCCTCCGATTATTGGCGTGCGCCTTGATGTTGTCACACAAACACATATTATGAATTGTGAAGTCGATCGCGAACGGACGTGTTTTTATCGCTCTGCTAATGGTGTTTAAAATATAACAATATTACAAAATGTGGTGTTAATACTAGCATTACTGGATTAAAAGTGTGAAACATAACGATTTAAACCAATAACTAGACATTGGCTTCCTCGAAATAAATAAAATAAAAATAAGCATAATAGACAAATAATAGCGCGCATGTTGATGGTACATACATATATTCATCCAAACATACTTAGCTGCTGCTGAGTGAGTGCAAAGATGTCAGAATCAGGGATGCCGTTTGGATCTAAATAGATCCAATTGGATACATTTTTAGACGAATTTTTGCGGGATACTTATTTTTTCCTATCAGTATAAATGTGGATACTTTTTTAAATAGACCAAAATTTTATATTTTCTATAAAGTTTTTTTCGTTAAAAAATAGATTTTCATTAATGACGTTTTCTGAATGTTATAAAAATCGCTACTTAAGCGTGAAATTAGAGCATTTTATTTTTTGTGAATGAAGCAATGAACATATATAGAGATCTCACCAAAGCAGTGTAATAAGAGCTTTAACAGACGGCAGCGTTGATCCGGATCAACACGGGAATTAACTGCAGTTAATCCGGATTAAGTCCCAGTTAATCCCGATCAACTCGGGAATTAACTGCAGTTGATCCGGATTAAATAACAAATAATCCCGATCAACGCTGCCGTCTGTTTAAGCTTTTAGGAGCAATTGTTTAGTTAGCTAAAAAAATGCTTTAAGCAAGATCTTAATATATATATATATATATAAATTAAATATATCTCTTTCATATCACTTATCTTCATTTGTTAATATAAAAAGAAAGAAGATATCAATGTAGTTTAAAATACACTGTTTAAAAAACTAAATTTGATTTATTTAAGGAAATTTTTATGAAGTTTACTGAAAAGACTTTAAATACACTCTAATTTTTTTTTGTTTATTTGCGCATATTAAGAAAGGTAACCATTTTCCTCTCCTAATGTGTGCACACCGTGTAATAAAATTAAACACTGCCTATTTACTTTAACATACCAAATTTGTCGCAGAGCGCAAAATAACATAACATAAAATGTTTAAAATAGAGTAAATGTAAGCTCCTAATGTTTATTATTTGTAGGAAATGTATTTTTAGTTTCAAAATTTTTGCAACTTTAAACATTTCATGTGTATATTTATGTGTATATTTTAAAGATCTCAAGTTCAAAATCGAATCCTGAACATCTTATACGTATGTATATTTATACAGATTCCTGTTGAAAAATAGATATTTTTCAGTAGTAGTTTTACACACACTTTTCATAGTGTACATGTACAAATGTAACATATTAATTACTATTTTTTATACTTACTTTGCAAAATACTTATGTATAAAAGATGTAATTTATAAATGGAAATTACAAATGTTTGATTTTATGAAATATAAAAATATATACAACGTATTCCAAGTTCTTAGGATGGGTTAAATTATGTCTTTTTCTTCAAAGTGTTTGATTTTCTTACAAATTATGAGATGGATAGGTAAAAACAGAAAATTGGATATATTTGGATACTTTTTTGGCTTGGTCGGTGCTACGTTTTCTTGGGACGGCGCGGCAACACTGGTCAGAATGCGCGAAATGACGAAAAGGCGTCAGAGGAGAGTCGGGTGTACGTTGTCAAGGTGTGTGCGGGAAAGTGTACCATAGAACGCAGGCATGTGCGTCGGCTGATGACTACAGCCTAAAGGCACTGGAAAACTGGCCGCTTTTGCGCTTCATGTGCGACAACTGCATGATTTAAGCTCGGAACACTTTGACGACTGCAACTTCACGACGTAACGACAGCGACATCATTTTGTCGACAAATGTCGCCTTGAAGCCAGCTTCTTAAACATTTTGAAGACCTCAGCGACATAGCAAATAGCTGATTTTAAAGTTTTACATTTTGGTATATTTATTTCACAAATTGTGTATTTTTATTTAAGTAAATAAGAAAAACATGAACAATCAAGAATATGTGATTAATTTTGCGACAATTTAATTTTGCAGCACTACATCTACTCATTGTCGCCGGCAAAATTAGAAATAGATTTAATTTGGCGACGTCGACAATTGCAGTCCTGCAGCCAAGATGTCGTGCTGTCGTCAAAATAATTGTGTCCGTAAGAACGTGTGTATTTAAAATTTGACAGATGCTGCTTGTCGCTTGCTGTCGTCAAAGTGTTCCGAGCTTTACATAGCTAATGTGGTTGAAGCTTTGAGAGAAATGATAGGTATTGCTGAGGCTAACCAGATGAATGTTATAGAACAAAAGACAGATATAGAGAAATTGTTAAAAAATCACAGCAAGGAGGTAAAAATCTTGGTTGATAGTATAAAGAAGGCAAGGAGAAACTAGAGGTTATAAAAAGAGTAGAGAGTAGCGATGATATATGTACATAAATATGTACAAGCATACGAGAAAAAACAAGGCTTCATTAGTTTTTCTTTTATTTTCAGCTGAAAGCTCACACCCGACGATGCTAATAATCTTAATATGCGTATTTTTGGTGATACTATTATGCGGTGTGTCCATTGCCCGTTTGAAAAATAATAGCTTGAAGTATGTGGATAGTCATCAGCCTGGTTCGAAGGTAAATTCTAGACTTTAGAGTTAAATTAACTGCAACATTAACTATTTTTTTATACCTAAAGATTGCCGACGAGGGCTTGGTTTGGGATGATTCCGCGTTGACAATTACAATAAATCCAATGCAAACTGATGGTGTTTCTGAGGATAGCACAGATTCTGAAAACTCCGAATCCGAGGATGAAGAAGGTATAGTTAAGAGGTTGTTGTTGTTACCATAGTAGCTCTCGGCAGGCCGCTGGGGGAGGCTGATACTGCGGGCGCTTTACTCTTCTGCGCGCTTTTTAAAGTGGCAACGCAAATAAAAAAAGTTCATAATCGCGAAGATACTTAGGCTTAACGGGTACCAAAAATATATTTTGATATATACATGGGTATCTCATTAACAAGAGCTACATGGTATTGTGGTTACAACAACATTTTTTTTGGTTTATTTAAAACTCAATACTTCTGTGCTCAAACTATAACCGCCTAAGCAGAAATTCCTGCTTCACAGAAAATACTTTATATTCAAGGCTACGTACAGCTGAATAACTTAAAATGTTTAACTGTACAAATTGTCTCTCTTGGAAATGAACATGGTTTTTAGATATGCGCTGTGAAACCTTTATATTTCACAGATCCAGTTTCTGTTAGGAAAATCTAGTGAGCTCTATATAGAAAGGTTGTACAATGTTAAAACTAAGCGAATGCCCTAGAAATGCTCCTCTTGGAAAGCTTTCTCCACAGACTAAAACTAAGTATGTTCACATTACAGCATAAATTACTTTGTTTCGATCAAATAACTTCACATAAATCACGTACGTTCACATTTTCTTTCATAATTTCTATAGATATGTGATTAGCACGTGTACGTACGAGTGTGTGGTTTGTGTTTATTTCGAACAAAAATTGGTTGCATACCTCTAGATTTTTTTTTAATTTCCTCAACAGTAGGGGCTAAAATAAATGAAAAATCGTGTTTTTTCTTCATTTGGTTTTGGATTTATGATAAATTATCTCATTTCTATTTAAATTATTGACAGATTTTACAAAGCGAAATTACTTGATTTCAGCATGGTTTGCTTATAAACTACAAATGAGCCGTAAATTACGATAATGTGAACATGCTTTAAGTTTTGAGTAGGAGCACGATATCGCACCAAAAGTATCGGAGCGGAAATCATTTAAAGTACCGCTCTAAAAAAATCGGTTACACACTAATATCGAATTAAAAAGACTCGATTCCCAATATATTGATACTAAGTTGAAGCAAAACATATCATATTTCGACTTCAGAAATACCTCGTTGAACGTAAATAAGCCTTTTCTAATGTTGTGGTTAAAATTCTACACCTTTTCAAGTTTATAATGAGAAAATGTAAGTTCATATTGAGAAATCCCAAATTGATAATGAGAAGCGTAAATTCATATTGAGAAAGTACAACTTTATAATGACAAATGTAAATTTATATTGAGAATATATAAGTTGGTAATGAGAAATATAAAATCATAATGAGAAAATAAAAATTGATAATGGGAAATATAAATTCATATTGAGAATATATAAATTGATAATGAGGAATGTAAGTTCATAATGAGAATATATCTATACTAATTATATAAAGAGAAGTCCCTTTTTTTTGTAACAGGTAATCTCGTGAACGGCTGGTCCGATTTTCATGAAATTTTGTATACAAATAGCTTTCGGTAACCACCATGTTTTAGGCTAAAAAAATTTTACTTTTTTCGGGTAGGTGGACCAGGGAACGGTCTATTCGAAAAAATCTAATTATGGTCCGATTTGCTTAAAATTTGGTACGTAAGTAGCTTTTTAGCATATATTAGTATATATGATCCATTTTTTCCGGGAAGTGGTCCAGGGACCGATCTATTCGAAAAAATCGTATTTACGGTCCGATTTGCTTAAAATTCGGTACGTAGGTAGCTTTTTAGCATATATTAGCATATATGATCCATTTTGTCCGAGAAGTGGACCAGGGACCGATCTGTTCGAAGAAATCGTATTTATGGTCCGATTTGCTTAAAATTCGGTACGTAGGTAGCTTTTTGCCTGGATAAGCTTATAGATTCCTGTTTTCCAATTTTCATGCAATTTCGAATATAAATAGCTTTAAGTAACGACCATATCAAGGGGCGAATTCGTCACTAGGCAAGATTTTTTTGCGCCAATCAGAAACAACGGATACTGTCAAAATATAATTATAATCTATAATATATCTCAACTAATTTATATTTAGAAAGCCGTTTGTTAGTTTTCGCAAGGCTCGAGAGCGGCTGAACCGATTTTTTTGAAACTGCCACCTGCCGCACGTGTCCCAAGGATGGTTTTAGGCTGAAAAAAATCTATATGTAAAGGGGGCGTGGCACTTCCCATACAAACCGAATTTCTCATGCTACATATCTCTGAAAGTGTGCATGGTAGAGTTTTGGAAATTGGTATGGAGATATACGAAATCAATCGCATACCCTTGGAGAAAAATTTTAGCTATTGTAAAAAGGGGTGTGACATCTCCCATACAAACCGAATTTTTCATACTGCTTATCTCTGGAAATTTTTTGGTAGAGTTCTAGAGTTTTGTATGGAGATGTACGAAATAAATCGCATACTCTTGCAGAAAAATTGGAACTATTGGAAAAGGGGGCGTGGCATCTTCCATACAAACCGAATTTTTCATACTGCCTATCTTTGGAAGTGTTCATGGTAGAGTTCTGGAACTTGGTATGGAGATATACGAAATCAATCGCATACTCATGAAGAAAGAGGGCAGCTGTTGGAAAGGGGGGCGTGGCACCTCCCATATAAATCGAATTTTTATACTGCATATCTCTGAAAGTATTCATGGTACAGTACTGGAACTTCGTATGGAGATATGTATATAGTTGAAATCAAGCCCATACTCATGGAGAAAATTTGGGCTATTTGAAAAGGGGTGTGAGGCCTACAAACGTACCGACCTTTAGCTATCTTTGAATGAATTTTTTTATTCTTCTGTAGGTGTGTTTGTGAGTGAAATCCTCCTAAATGGTTGTACGGATTTTAACGAAACTTTTTGTGTATTTGAGTGGGTCTCTGGATGGTTTAGTTTCACAATTTAATCCGACAGTTGGCGCTGTAGTTGAGTTATTACTAAAAATCTTATTTATGATCCGATTTGGCTAATGTTTTAAATATGTATGCAATACTATTGCAAAAACGTGCTGCCAAGTGGTGCTGAAGTCGAGCTATTACTAAAAATAGCCAAGTGAGAAAAGGGGCCGTGAAGGTCAGATTAAATCGACCTGTTGCACCATTGAGTATATCGAACGCTCCTGCGTTGCAATTGGCCCAATGGATGTGATTTTCCAATATTATTATGCGTTCAAACTTTTAAGGTATTTCGTCTGAAATAAGTATATGTATATTGCATTTCTGTAGAACAATGATTCGCACCCATTTTGAAATTGCCACCTACTATACTGTAAAGCTTCTAGGACATTCACTATAGAACCGGGTCATTGTTGCCGCCAGGGAGTGAAGAGGAAAAAATTTATTTCGCTTTGCGAATAACCGTGCTATGAAATGCCGCACAACTGGAGAATTTCAAGAACTTCTTCACGGATATAACACTTTCCTTAGGTTATTTAAAGCGGCAAATGACCACCAAACCATAATCTTAGCAGACGAATGTGCATATGAAAATTGTAAACGTGAATTGTTGGTGAAAATCTTGGATCAAAAAGTTTCAATAAAATATATAAAAATTTTGGGCGGGACGAAGTTTGCCGGGTCTGCTAGTAAATTGATAATGAGAAAACGTAAATTCCTAATGAGAAAATGTAAACTGATAATGAAAAATTATATCACTGAAGAGCTACAAGTACATTACTCTGGAGTCTGCGGGCTAATGTCGCGATATTAGGTGAATTAAAGCAAGCATCAAGGGACACTGCCAAAAAAATTTATAATATATACAACCCAAAATTACAGTTGGACAACGCATTTACACCCCTGCTGTGTGTGAGCGCCCCCGTTTGCCTTTTTATGTGTAACACTTCAGCTGTGGTTATTGCATTAATAAGGTGGACGTTTGTCCCTCTGGAAGCAGGGAGCTGTAGAGTGGCTCGGTGGCCAATTTTTTTTATCGGCAACGTGACATTCGGCAAAACAAATTAAAATTTGTTTCATCCTTCCATGCTATTTGTTTACCACTTTCGGCTCATTTCAATTTGTTATCCTGCGAGTTCATGGTTATTGGTTGCGTGTGGACTTTTTTGCAACTGTACAGATTGCCCTCGAGATAATTTGCCACTGATGTGGTGCTCAATTCTACATTAAACTGGTTTTGTGTTTTTCTTTTTAATTGTCCAAGTAAAACTGCAGTCACCTTCATGCCATGATAACATAGTCATCACGTTGTCTTCAGTCAGCTTTTTCGGGCGCTTACACCACTTGGTTTTGCTTCCGTATCTTCGCTAACACCCAGCGATAGGCCTGAATGTACGTATTTTCTCATTATGAATTTATGTTTTCTCATTATCAATTTATATATACTCAATATGAATTTACATTTCTCATTATCAATTTGTATTTTCGCAATATGAATTTATATTTCTCATTATCAATTTGTATTTTCTCAATATCAATTTACATTTCTCATTATCAGATTATATATTCTCAATATGAATTTACATTTCTCATTATCAATTTGTACTTTCTCAATATGAGTTTACATTTCTCATTATCAATTTGTATTTTCTCAATATGAATTTTCATTTCTCATTATCAATTTGTATTTTCTCATTATAAACTTGAAAAGGTGTAGAAGATAACATATTTTTCCCATAAAAAATTCTAAATATAAATAAAAATATAAGTAAAATATACCAACATCTTAATATCGGAAAAACACTCGTTTGCAAAAACGCAAATTTGTGTTATTTCCGAATTGAATGTGAAATAACACAAATTTGCTTTATTTCATTTCTCGTTGAGCAATAAGACCAACTTTTAAACTTAACAATTAAGTAATAAAGCAAAATAGTGCACATAAATATGTAGGTAGTTATAATAATAATAATAGATTGGCGCTTACACATATGTTAGTGTTTGGCCGAGCTTCTCCTCCAACTTGTGGCGGGCCCCTTGATATTGTCACACAAAGCGGAGGGACCTACAGTTTTACGCCGACTCCGAACGGCGATTGTAT